TACAAGGGGGTAATAAGAGGCCCAGGAGGATATAAAAAAGCTTGAAGAACGCTTTAAGAAAAGATAATAAACCAAAATTTCAAGGGTGAACCTGGGTGAATAACAGAACCTCTCACCAAACACAAGGGCTGAACAAAATAGGACAAGACACCTTGAAAACCTCAGCACCAAAGAGCTAGGTTTATCTGAGGTGAAGGCTCTTTCTGAGTCCTGCCTTATAAGGTTAAATTGTCCTCAGTTCTTTGTTTTGTCGGGTTTTTCTTCCCTTCAAACCAGCAGGAAGCCACTGGAGTTCGACATCTTAGATCTAAACACCACAATCATCTCAGGGAAACTGAGCTGCATACAGAGGAAAGCTGAAGAAGCCACTTCAGTTGGTGTCCAAACAGGGAAGCCACTACTACAATTTTACCAATGGTTTAGATGGAAATCACAGTCCAGCTGGTGACATCTAAGTTAGTTGTTCCATTTAGTGTATAATTAATATCATAGTCTAACATCCCCAAGAACACCACCAGCTCTCTGTGAGTCACTAAAGCTGCTCCCACCGCTCACCGCATCTATAACCATCACACGCACTCAGCAGAACTGTAAACCCATAAGCCTACTGGCTTAGACTGAGAGGATCATAAACTGCAAAGCACTTCAGAGCTTTTGACAAAACAGATTATCAGTTCTAAACCCCGTAAGCAGAAACAGGTAGACTCTCTCAGTTCTCAGCATCAAATAGCTTCCAGTGCTGAGATTTACACAGCCCATTACCAACAAGATGGGCAGATGCAAACTACTTCCTCTTGACCCATCACATAACCTTCGCTACATCATCAGGGTAATATTTACAAAGTTCATAAGCATTGTATCAGTGAATTATGGCTTCGTGCCACTTTCTTTAAGATTGCATGTCTCCTGGAGGGATGGGTCTTTGATTTTCAAGCTGCAGAGGTAGCCCTTACATTCCAGCACAGCAGCCCATTGGGGATTTACGGGCACTCCATGGGTGTTTAATGAGGCTTACACTGTAAGCGATCTAAACAGCTCTTGTTCACAGCATCCTGAAGCACATCCCGTAAAGCTGATGGAGCCTGAGACACCTTGAGAGAAATACTGAGCGAATCAAAATAATCAGCCTGCCCTTTCCCTCTGTCCCGGTTTTGCCAGCAAATACAAGGCACACATACACACAGAATAAACAGTCCCTGTTTTCTTTCTCCTCAGTCTCATGGGGCATTCAGGCTGGGCAGTCAAGACATACTGGTATATATGTGTAAGTTTTTAAACATATAGATCAACTTCATTCTCTTTCATTTTTTTATCTAAAAATCTGATTTTCAAGAAAAAAAAAGGAGAGTAATGAAGACATGAAAGCAACATTTTAAGATGGTATTTAATAGTACTATCTAATGACATTCGGAAAGGCCAAAGTCTCACTCTTGGAAGGTATTTAAGTGCTTAAATGTCTTTGCACACCTGGACACCCCCCCCCCCCAAAAAAAGGGGCTATTTTTGCAAAGGTAGCTATTAGGGTATTGTAATTTAATAAATAGTGTTTCAAAGTCAGATGAGAACATGCATACATGCAGCCTTGAATCTGATGTGTTTGCCATCTGGCACATAACAGACATAACATTCTCAAACGCTTTGAACAAGGTTTTCCTAAAATTAATAATTAGAATGAAACGCTTATCTAGTTTCTACAGGAAGTTCTCTGCTTTAAAAAACAGACACCCAGAAGCTCCTGCAAAAGGAAATGAGGTGTGAAGGAAAGAAACGTGTGTGATGCTCTCATTTACAACTGAGAGGAGCAGTGGCTTTCTCACTTTCAGGGATCCATGCTGTTATAGCTGCTTAATCAGATATACTCTACATTTAATACAAACCTTCGTGAGGTAAAGATTAATTTCATTTTCACAAATGTTTGTGCCTACAGCATGTGCCTCTGCAAACTTTCACAATCTAAACTGAAATATTCTGGAGTCTAATTCTCCCTTCACAACAGGAGCGGTTCTGCTGTTTAGCAGATCTTTTTCAAGCTTAAATCTACACATGCAATTGATCTGCAAAGCCTCTTTTGTATCAAACGACTTTTTTGAGCTGTAAATGCTTGAAGAATGCTGCTGCGGATTGCTGTACCCTTCTTATGCTACCCTCTGCTGTTGGTGAAGTGGGGATCATGCTAACAAGGGCCAACTGCCCTGGAAAGAGGCAGGAGGCAGCAGACTCCCAGGAGGAAGCACCATTTTGTGTTTCCGCTTCTTCCTAAACGTCACCAGCCAGCCATGGCCAGAGTCAGGCTCCTGGGGTAGGAAACCCTTCGGCAGGACCCACTATGGTTGTTCTTCAGAGCAAGGGACAAAGCTAGTTTTAACCCATCACTCCTGAAGGCATTTAACTTCCTCACGTTCTTACTTATCCAGGTTTTAATTCTTCAGACTAAGCCAGAAAAGAAAAAACAGTTTTGCTACCCCCTCTTCTTTTCTTTCCTTTCTCATTTCTCCATTTTATGGGCTTTGCAAATTTCTTTCACTAAAGAAAACAACTGCTGTGATATTTAGGGCTGTGTGGCCATGTCAATGGCATTGGCACTGAGAGCTTTGAGTCTCCTGCTCCATGCTGTACTGTGCAGAGTATAAGTTAGGAAGCAAAATCATTCAGAAATTTGTCTCGTAGCATGCCTTTTGTCAGTAAATACTGAATGCAGTGCTAACAAGTACTTATGGCTTTGCTCCCGTTACTTGACACGGTAATAAATACTTCACGTTGGAGTGACTTCCAGCCTTTTTGAGTGTAGGTAGGCAGCAACAATTCAGCACTCTCACTTAAAAGATGAAATTAAGCTGTCAGAAATCTTACCTATGTGCCAAAAGTTACATGGAAGCTCACTGACAGCAATCCTCATTGTTGTTTGGCTCACTTGCCCTGTGCCAATGGGGTTTTGCCTTCATTTTTGTACTTCAAGTTAAATAGCTGTCAAGTTTAATTTATTTGTAGAAACTAGTGTGGACAAATTAGTTCCTACCAATGGGCTAGTTATCTTGAGATTAATGGGAAATCCAGAGCTACCAGTCAGAGGGGTAAGTAGTCTGAACGGGAGAGAAATGCAATCCAGCAAAATCACAAAGCAGCCTCAACTTTTGGTCTCGTGACCCACGCTTGAGAAAACAATAAATAGCCTGCTGTAACGGCCAAGGGAGGAGAGAGGCAGTGGTTCTGTGGTACAACAAACCGAGGAACTGCCAACACAGAGGGCATCTGGAGGTGCCTGTTCTTGATGGAACAGAGATTAAACCACTTTGAGCAGTTTAAAACCACCATGTAAGTTTTCAGATTTCCTAAAATACTGCCATAATACAAATATATTTTTCCTAGTGGAACCTAACACTACAGATTTAGCTATCAAACATTAAGTAAAAATTGTGTGTTTGAGGATGCAGAAGAAACCCTCCACAAAAACTCTTTCTGCTCAACACACCTCGGAGTTACACATAAAAAGAGAGAATACCCAATTTTCACCTTAGGTGAAAAGTTGTGGGCTCTCAACAGAAACTGAAACGAGTCTCTGCTACGTGTTGACATCAGAGGGATCACAGAGTCCTTCCTCAGACCCTGCGCCTGGCAGGAGACGGCTTCCCCAGGTGGGGAAGGCTCTGAGAGTTGAGTTCAGCTCAGTTTGGGCACATCAGGGTTCTGTTCTTGGTTGAGAAGTCAGAGAATCACTCTATTACACATGCTGTGTACGCAGACCTGACCTTTCAATTTTTAGGTATTACGTACGCCCAGTACTATTTAAGTGGTTATTTACACCACGCTGCTCTGCCAGAACAAACTTTCCCATCTACATTCCAAACAAAAAGATCAGCACGCCAGAATTGCTTCAAACTAACGTTTCTTTGAAAAGGCTTTCTTACGGGAAAGGACTGTGTAAATACCTGGTTTGCCACTTCCCCATTTTGACTGGTACTCAGAAGAGTCGCTGTGTCTGCTTGCCACCACCTGCTCTAACTCTACCTTGCCATAACCAGGAGCTTCATTCTTCTTTTGGTTCCCCAAATTGAGGCATGCTAAAGCAATCTGGATTTTTAAGTCATCAGAACGATCTCAAAATGATCTGTTTTCACATTAGGATAGAAATTCAGGCACTATACTACATTGTGCAAACCCACACTGTCCAAGACAGAGCGAAAGAGCTGCTCTGGGCAAAATGAATGTTGTCCACCTTATCCGCAGAAAGTGTCAGGCTTTTGAGGGGAAAAAACAGAGTACAGTGTGAATTCAGGGAAACAAGAAGACAACTGGATCTTCCGAATTCTGTGGAGGAACAAACAGTAAGGACTTCAGCTGAGACTGAACTTACTCTGTTTGCTTTTCAGTCCTGTGCTTTACTAGAAATTTTTTTGTCTGAGTGAGGCTGTAGCAGCCAGTGGCTCCAGAAGAGGACGACCAGCTTTAAACATCAGTCATTTAGCCCTAGCCTACTACAGACCATGCACTGACTGGTCACGAGCTAGGAAACAGCATGATCTCAGCAACCTCCGAATGACTCCCCACACTTGAAAATATGCTCCCATGAATTTTCAGGCATACAGTGAGAAGCACCAGCTGGAAGGCTGTTCTGCCCAGTAGGAGCCACGTTTTACTTCAGCAATATCCTTATTTAAAAATACTTACTCCAGTTTACTTCAGCAACAGAAAGATACTGTCACTGCAATACAAATAAATGTATGGCCAATAGAAGTCCTATAGATAACACCAAGAAAGCGAAGAAAGCATGCAGCTGGAAACCTCCAAAGACCTGTTCTCCTGCACCCACACTGTATAGGTAATGGGTTTTGTGTATGTTTTTTAGAATGTTCACTACAGCAAGGCAGAATTTTGGAGGGTGGCAGAGACATATTTGTGCACTTCTATATACCGTAAGACAGCAGCAATACAAAAAATGGCAAGACAAGTAAATGACAAAGTAGCACAGAAATAGAGACTGCAGCCACTGTCCCAATCCTTACCTTTCAGAGTTGCCTTCTTAAGTACCTTCATGGCATAAAGCTGACCCGCATCAGATCCCTTGATCTTCCTCACTAGAAATACCTGTAAAAAGCAGACATCTTGTGTAGATAAGTACTGAACTTCCAGCTACAAGCCTTGCTGCATTTGATAGAAGGATACTACAGTTCAGGAAATCTAATGAAAATTATTAGCTGAAATTACTTCATATCTATTTCACCTGCAATTGGTTGAGCTAGCTCTGGAAATCTTCAGTTTTAAGCCCTTACTGCCACACAAAGAAAATATGTTCAACGTTATTAATTGCCCTTACACATTCAATTAAAGATGGGTGAATAATCAGAATCAGTGTATACACATCTCTTGATATTCTGAGCAGCTTTACATGAAAAAAAGTTATGTCTCATTTGTGCTTAGGAGTGTGCAGTGTCTTAAAATTACTGCCATCAATTAAATTAAGGAGGAAAAACATTTTGGTGTAATTTATGCCATAAGTCATGAATGGTGACTTGCCTAAGATGTAGCTGAAGCAGAAAGTTCATACAGCTGAAAATCTGTTTGTGCATACTTAACAAAAAGTAGGGCTACTTTGATTAACAAATAGGTTTTATTACAAGAAAGACAGTTTCCCCGTTATAGCCTCTATGCTACATCTTCTGACAGTGTAAATTTGTAATTGAAATAAAATTGTAGCTAAGATTGTATCTTTTTTGTTTTACTCCATGCAACTATTTCTTACCTGCCTCTGAGTGCATCTGAGCACTGGAGGGATAGTGAACAAAGGAATCAGTAATTTAGTTTGGTCTTTGTAAGACTTTCAGTGTTTTAACAATTGAAAATAAAATAAACAAATCTTTTAGCTCATTCTCAGGACTCACTCTGTCTGCTGAGGTCAGAAATATCAGACAACAGTGTCTTTTTTCTTTAATTTCAGCACTTGTGTTACTGGACAGAAGCAGAAGTAAAGCCAAATACAGAAACAAAAATAAGCCCCCACACAGAGCATATACTTATAAATATATAAATTAACAAAGGCTAGGTGAAATTATGTAACTAATGAATGTCTAGTGGGATTACAAAAATCTGTGTCGATTATTTTATTCATTGCCTGTTCAGGAACCATGCAGCTTTGTTAACTGTCTCCACCCAAAATATAAAAAGCCAAAAAAAGAAAGGAGGAAGTCTGTTTCTAGCACATTATTTGTAAGTTGAAAGACTCTTCCGCCTGAAAAAAACATGTGTAAACAGATTATGTTTTTCTTGAACACATCTGAGGACAGGTTTGAGGGGAGGGAGAACACCTTTTAACAACCAGGTGGAGAAGCTGGGGGAAAAAAAAAATTGGGGGTAAATTCTCTCTGAACACCTTAATCAGGGCTGTTACATCTGACAGCATCACAGCTACAACACTTCTGCAATACAATCTGATACGTTTTTGGTGAGACTTTGCTTCTCAAGATGTTTCCTGTGTGTATGAGATATGCACAGTTCCCCAGCCAAGCTGCCCTAAACAGCTGAGCTTGGGCACATGCTGCTTGTTCTCATCTCCTGTTTCCTAGTCTGATGGACATACAAATACCTCCGGTGCTCACAACTGTAGGAACAGATGATGAAATCTGGATGCGACAGGAACACATAAGACTCTCTGAAGTGTTTTTCATTAACATTCATGATAAATTAAGCTCAGCTGCTCCAGCATTAACAGGAAGTCAATTCATTTAGAGTTCGGCTAGACAGAAACGTTGGGATATTTTTCTATCCAGCCCAAGTAAAAGATTTATTTTTTGCATTACATTGAAAGGGAGGAGAAAGTCAAAAGCAAGCTTGTCCAAACCCTAGATTTTCAGCTGTATTATTAATCTGTAAAAATGGTCACGGAATCTTTATCCAAAAAACCAAAACCCCAAACCCTTAAGATAATGATTTTAAACTGTACTGCACGTAGAACAGCACAGCATTCTGCATCTGCAGAAGTATTAGGCTGCAGTTCTACAAATATCTTATCTGCTATGTAATCTTGCAAAGCTTTTGCTACCCGTATTGCCATAAAAAGCAAAATTATCAATTTAAGTTACTAGTCACTAATCAGCTGTTCCCTGTAGCACGGGATAGGGCACTTGTCTGCATTCCCTCCAAAACAGATGAGTCAAGAACACTGTGTGCTGTTTTAGAGGACATCACAATAATCACCAAACCAAAAAGGAAACAGAACAAATGAAAATGCATTGTACTGCAAAATGATGTCCTTCTGATTATTCTTAAAGGGAAAGTTACATTGTTCTTGAAACCACCAAGTGGGCCTGGAGTGCTTACTTGACTGGTTGTATTAGCTATGCTATACTAATTTGCCAGAACAGGTATGCAGCTGGAGGTGACTTTCAATTTTCTAGTTTGATATGCATGCAAACACCTCAGGTTACTAATACCTGAACTAGCAAAACTTCCTTAGCTGGAGAAATGGATTTATCACCCAAATCCCAGCCTAGAAAGCTAAGCGAGTGCTGTGACTTCCAAGAGTGCTGAGAGCCCCTCCTCTGACACCAAAGGCATCTTCTCTAATCTTGCAAGAAATTATTTAGGCCTCAGGTGAAGAACCTGAAAACCAACCGGTTTGCATCCCCAGAGACTTACAGATTTGAACCATTAGCTCAAATACCAAGGTGATGAAAATTTAGGTGGTTGGGGACTTCCCAAGCAGACTTCCCTCCCCTGCATCTTTGCTGCTCTGGGGAGTTTACTGACCTGTTTCACATAAGATATGGAAAGCAATTTGTAATCACACACAGCTCCAAACAGCTATGATGTCCACACTCACACTGATCCCCAGAAATCAGATCTCCTTTTGGGAAGTGGTGGCAGAGACTAGGCATTTCACTTATAAAATGCCTAAAGCTAGAAGGCCAACTTGGACAGTTAATAATGAAATACATCAGTACAATCTAAGACAGCCAGTGAACCACTTCCAAACTCTTTACTGCCTGAATCTGAAAACTGGCCATTCTGCCTCTGTTACTTTTGCAAAAGAGATTTTCTAATCTTGTTCTCCTTCTTGTACTGAGTCATACAGCAAATCTAATTTGGAGTTGTTTGATTTTTTACATTTCTGTAATATTTAAAACTCAAATATCATTACTGTGCTCTCAAGAAATTCTCTAGATCAAAACTTGGTAGTGAATGCTAACTTTCCTGATATCTCTCATCTCAGGGAACTTCTAATAGACTTGCTTATCGATATAATTCTTGAATACTCAGGAAGTTGTTAAATACTCTCAATATAGCTTCTTTCAGGAATCAAACTGAAGGCCCTGGATTCATTGTCAGGGTGCTCAGCTTTGGGCCGAGTACCTCGGCAACTTTTAGGTATAAGTCAGTTCTTCACATTAGCCAGAATGATCCACCATTGAATTGAAGGCTAGGAAATATTTTTTTAAAACTCCACAAAATAATATACTTAAAATGATAAGGACTTCCATGCCTAGTTTAAATTAGGCTGACTATTCCCCAGGTTTCAAAGTGTTATTTATTTAAACCACGGAAAGAGTTTAAGACTGAATTGACTCCTACCTCTTTCTCTCCATCTTTCCTTCCTATTCTCATTTCCAGCTGATAAATCCTGCTGAAGACGACTTGTCTTTGGGATTAAGAAAAGCCTTGGACTTACGATTAAAATGTTGTTTCTCCACAAATTAGCTTGTGGTCATACAGGTAGGGTTTTTTTCCCCCATGCTCTTGTCACGATTGCTCTTTTCAGCACTGGGGCTTGTCTCCAGGACCCTCTCAGCAAAGTGTACGGGCCTTTGAGTGTGAGCTGAAGAGCAGTCTGGGGCTTGGGAAAGTACTTGAGATCCCATTTGCCCTCAGTGGGAATTGGGCAGCTAACTTCTTTAAGCCTTTGAATGGTCCTGTTTACATCCTCCAACTAAGCAGCACTCACCTCCCTGGTGGGTAGGTCAGAAAGAGGGAGGGGGGTCTGATTTTATAAACAGCGATGCTCACTAATGCTCACTTGTGCTCATTAGTCCAGGTCCAGAGCCATAAGCACTATTTCCTAAATTCTTTTATATACAGGAAGCCAGCTAAACAGACAAAAGTGTTATTAAAATGAAGACAGAAGGGGTTTGGGCTTGCTTGTCTGCCTTTACAATATAATTTATATATGGACAGTGTTACCAGCATAAACGAACTCAGAGAAAGGACACGACATTTTCAATGTTGCTCTAGGTGATTAGATGGCATTAAAAATTACCTTTCCATATGAACCTTGTCCTAATACTTTCAGCAGCTCAAACTGAGAAGGATCTGCTTTTTCAAAACCTTCCTTCACATGATGACTGATGTCTATTTCCTTCACGATACCTTCTTCCTGCAAAGGAAACAACAAAACCCAAAATCCCCAAATCAGAGTTGTTATCCTAAGGAAACATATTGTTTATTAAAATCTCATCTTCTGTGCTGCTACAATCATGTATGAAATTTTGAAAATAGAAACAAATGCTTGTCCAAATATTCCACGTGCCTGTTACTGGCTGGGGATGGTAATGGCAGGACATCCAGGCCTGCTGCTTCTGTTTATTGACCCTCAAAGATATGACTGGTTAAAGATAGAATATGCAAGCTGAAACACAAAAATACACTGCAGAGCTTGGTGTGCCCATCACAGACCTTGCTAGCACAGTGGCATGTACTCAAATCTGTACTACAGAAGCTCCAGCACACTTCTCTCCACATCCTTTCTCATTCTTCCTCAAAGCATCATTTAAATCCACCTCAAAAAGCTCCCTTAGTCTTAAGCAGCAATTCTTCTTATGAGTAGGCAAGAAAGAAAAAGCATTGCTAAAGGCAGCTCTCCCTAGTTACCTCAAAGAACGGAAAGTTACTACTGGTAACCTTCTAAATAGAAAACAAATTAATGGTTTAGGTGTGAAAATGGGGGGGGTGGTGGGAGGAAGAATGACACATACTTTCTTGCTTGCAGGAACTAGCTTGAAAAGCTTTGCATTTTCCAGGTTCTTTTGTTAAAGTATTTCCACTGTCAATAGATGTACATTCCTCAAAGACACCCGTTGAACTAGGACTTTTATCTTGCAAGCTGTGACATATGGCATTTGGTTTAGCTTTTTTTTTTTTTTATGTTATTATGGCATGTTCCTCTAAAAAGAGAGCGACTGGGTCATGTGAGACCCAGAGGGACTACACAGAGTTTGCAGCAACCCAGAAAGTCATTGAGCTGAAAAGAAACCTCAAGACAAGGCCGGCTCTTCAAGGACACAGCAGTGAGGCAAGGTAATGTTTACACACCTTTTTATTTCTGTAGTGTTTTGTACACCTACATTTGAGCTTTTTTTCTATTCCAACTACTTGTTCTAACTTCTCTACACTAAAACGTGGATTTTAAGTACAAAACCTTTTTGTTCTGTCTCCCAGGTCAAAGGGATTTACTCATTTAGGAATAGGTTTGAACATTTCTGCACCCAGCAGAAAAAATTAGAATCTCATAAACATTATTTTTATATGGGATTTCCCCGCAATTGTCCTTTTTCCCCAAGAAAATATCTTGATAAAACCTGGAAATATAACATTTGTTTCACATTCTTAAAAATTAATGTGGAGAAAACAGAAATAACATCCTAAAATGAAAATGCATTCACAAAAACATTTGGCCGATACATGTTCATTTACTAAACGAGAATAAATTTGATTCCCCTCTCCACCAGAAAAATTGCTATCACTTTCTACCAGCTGTAATTCATCTGATGCATGGCTAGCATTACCCAGATCACTCTCTAGTGTAGCTTCATCCCTCCTCTTCCCTACCCTGCCTTTTTACACTATGTGCTTTGGAACAGGGACTATATCCTTTTCTTGGTTTGGAAAGCTTCCTTCCTCTACTTTGTGCATGGTACCAGAATCATGGAAAATAATAATCATCTGACAGCAACTCATTTTTCTGATCCTAATTCCTCTAGTTTAAAGTTTGCCCGAAAGGAAACGCTTGAAACCAATGACCAGTTTTCCCAGAGAGATTTGAACGTTTTATAAGTGCATAACTGCCAGCACCTCTCCTCTTGTTTTTCTGGCTTTAATTGCTGTAGAAGACAGAATATCTTTGTGATATTAAAAATATACGTTTTTTTCAATTTTTTCTAGCTGAGAAAACCCATAGTAAACCGATACAAACTCAATACACTGTATTAGCTGTTTCCTAAGAAAACCTACAAGCTGTTATCAAAGGCTCCCCCAAGTTCTGAAGCAATGGCCTTTCATACCGAGGGACATGCATCTTTAGGTAAACTGCCTGCAGCTGAGAGACTTGCACACCGGTAAGAACATTATTTTGAGCTTAGCCCATCCTGCCACATGGCAGCTGAGGTGCCGTACCGGGAGCGCAGGGCTCACCACCCACCTTGTTCAGTGGTTACTCGCTAAGGCTAAAAATGACGCCCCGTGGAGTCAGGGCCTCCTGAGTCACCTCTACACCAGACCTCGTATGCTTGGGAGCGCGCTCTCCACCGAGGGCTTGGGAGGATTGGCTTCTTCTGGGTGTGCGGACACCCCCCTGACGAAAAAACTGCACGACGTTCTCTCAGGTCAGTGCAGCTTGAGGGCACCTAGTCACCGTTCCCCGCTTTTGCCCATCTCTGTTTTGCACAGAAGCACAGCAAGGACCATCCACTGCAACCTCCAATTTTGAAATGGATTCCGGAGACGAAGCTCTGCACAAAAGAAACGAAGCCCAACTTTATGTACACCCGATATCCTCCTCAGATTACACTTCTCCTTCGAGCTGACACCTTGATCTCAAAACCCGTGGATGAGATCTGCTGCAAACAGCAAACCCCTATTGAATTCAGTTAGATTGTATTTCAGCCTGAACCATGAAGTCATTTCAGCTACATTTGCAAGTTTAAATGATGAGCTTCAATTTGCCCATTCATATTAGTCATCAAAGTCACAGGCCTACAACCTTAAGCATATTTCTCATTGTGTTATTAAATTTAATATAACCTCTTTAGGTTCATAAAATGTGTTCGGTTACAGGAATATATTAGAAGTATTAAAGTGATGATAATTCAGCTTGCTGGAAGAATGCTTAAAAAATTCTAGTGTTCCCAGAGAAGAGCATAATTAATTCATAACTTGCAATAAAAATAACACTTTAATTACATGCATCTTTAATTAAAATCTCAGAGAAATATTATTTAAAAAGAATGGGACCAAATACAAGGCCTAGCAGTGTTTATCAGACAAGCACAGAGTTTAAAGATGGAAAAAAATGTTAGATTATGTGACTTTATAGAACTATAAAAACATTGGTTAGAAGGGGCTTCTGGGGGTCATCTAGTCCAACACTCCTGCCCAAAATATCACTGACGCTTGATCAGACCGGCTGGTTTTTGTCCACTGTGGACAAACAATGAGGCTTGAGCCACTTCCTACAAAAGATTATTCTCTTTCAATTTGCCTGGCTCAGAAATGCCCACAGTCATGTCAAACTGCCCGCTCCATGGGTCCTTAGGAGGAAGCAGGATATTTTTCTAGGAAGGCAGGATTTCCTGTGGATTTCCTGTGGTCTCCTCACTAGAAAGGGGCAGCAAAGCAGCACTGAAGAAAAGCATGCCAGACATCTCTTTTTTCACCAATTGTCACCACAGTGGCGTTACTTGTGAGCCGTCCAAGAGGCGGATAGTATTTTAGCTGGTATGACAAATCCACTTCCCGCTGGAGCAGAAAGCCAAACTGTCAGTACTTGAGACTGAAGATGGACACAGCCCCTTAAAGGAAATATACACTGATGTGTTTGCACACATGCATCCATTTGCCTTGCATGTATTTCTATATTCTTATTACTTATTTTGCTGCATGAATTCTGGAATGACTTCTGTTTGTTTGCTTTGCCTTACTAGGAAAAAAAAAACCAAACCAACAATTTCATGGTTTCCTTTTAATATTCTTACTTACTTGGGATTTTTCCCCTATCATTTATGTCTTTTGGAGTCTCCCTGTAATAACTAATAGGGAATGTGGCATAATTTTTCTCAGGTACTGATGATCAGAGTGAAACCCAAACTATGAGAGCACAAGCATTGTGGGCAGATCTCCCAACTATTTTTGTTCTGAGTTGCATCTTAGGGACTTCTCTAACGTGGATTTTTTTCACTGGTCCAGCAAGTGCAGCACATCTGCAGTAGGAATTTGCATAACAACAATAAAACTGAGGCAAGAGATTCACAATACAGATGAAACCTGCACGCTGAAGAAGCTGTTTTGATGGAAAGGATTGCACTCTAGAAAAAAACACAAGCCAACTTCCAAAATGGTTTTGATCAGTGGAGTTGGTGGAGTCAAAAATGAACATTCCACAGTTTGGTCTTGCAACAGCTGTGCACAGCAGCCCAGGCCCTCGCTCCCTGCTGACTTGTCCCGACACTGCATTAGCAGGAATACTTGACTTGATGAAGCTTAATCTTTTGCAAACTTCTCTAAATATTTATGTTTGCACAAACAGCATCATCCTGTGACAAAAGAGAGATGGATGCCCTTGGCAGCTTGAAGAAAGCACATGGTCGAGCAGCACAGACTAGGGGAGGGAGGGCGATGAACTGGAATACATGATGAAAGAGGACTGGAGAGTGCTGCTCTGTGCTAATACGAGAGAATGACCTATTCAGGGCCTGATTCTATATTGCATTATTCACTCCAAGGCTTCCCCACAAGCCCCCCAGGATGGCAGAAGTTTTGGACACACAAGTAACCCAGTATTTGAACGGAAAGGCCATTTTGATCTCCTTTCCTTTGGGACGTAGGGGAAGAGAGCCTCTGCTGTTGCCCTGTGACCGGGGATGGCACAGACACATCTGTTCTGGCTCTTCCCGGCGGCAGCTGCTCCCTGTAGCACTGATCCCAGCTCACTTCCAAGATCTCCTCATGCAGACCTTGGACGGAGAGAGGCACTAATGCTCGGTGGCTGCTGGAGAGCAACCACAGAAAACTCTTCCAACTGCCACGGTACTTCCCGACTCGCTGTCACGCGTCCGCGTAGGATCGGGCAGCGCAGGGGTACGGACCAGGGAACGGGGTACAAAAAGTCAGGCAAAAGGGCGGCCCTTCCTGGAGAGCAGCTCTTTTCTCTTCAGCTTAATTGTGCATTAATTAATCACATTAATTTTGCCCAATCTTTTTCAAGCACATGCAAAAACTTCCCTCACCAAGACTTCCTGAAATGGCCTGAAACATCTGGAGAGGGAGTCACTCCAGAATCAGCTACTTTTAGTGATGGACAATTTTATGCAACCATATCACACGAGAAAAAGTTATGGTGCTAATGTAAGATGATTATTGTTTTGCAAAATCAGTAAGACAGAT